CCAGTGACAGTCTGGGACGTCAGGTTTTATCATCGGCTAAGCAGTAAACACCTGACAGCACCCGCCTCCAGGTAGGCTACTTCTCGCTAATCTCCCATTGGTGTGAAGCACAGAGACCACGAAGAAGATAAACAGGTTGCTTACCAGTAACTGGTGATCTTCGAGTGGTCATCTGTGCATTCACACCACCCGCCCTCCTGCCCCGCTGCTGTCTTCTTCTACTTGTTTTGTTAGGAGATTGATGCGCGGCGGTTGGTAGGAACTGGCGGGATGTCCGTGCCTGCCCTTCTGGGCATGCTCACTGGGGCTCCTGAGCATGCTCAGTTGGGTCAGGCACGAAAATCCTTTTAAAAGAGCTTGCTAGGCACCGGCAGATCCAGCGCAGGCGCACTAGATCCCATTGGTGTGAATGCACAGATGACCACTCGAAGATCACCAGTTACTGGTAAGCAACCTGTTTTTAACGTATGAGTTGTTTTTTCTAAAGTAAAACCTCAATATTCAGGTTAAATTGCCGTGTTGGCACTTTGCGATAAATAAGTGGGTTTTGGGTCGCAGTTTGGGCACTCGGTCTCTAAAAGGTTCGCCATCACTGCTCTAGGCTGATCCTGCATGGAGTAGGGGGTTGGACTCGATGGCCTGTAGGGCCCCTTCCAACTCCGTGATTCTAAGTTTACTCACCTGCTGGTCAAAATTATATCATGCTGGTTCTTCTGTCACCTGTGATAGTTCAGCATCCATAAAAGAATGTTCAGAGAAAGGGTTCCAGGATGCACATGTCTTTATGCCATTACACGTACCTCAGAAGTGCCTGTCCTCTGTCGAAGGTCCTTGGCAACTTGCACCATGTTGTGTGTGTGTATGAGACGGAAAGAGGCGGGAGAAGAGTCCTTGCTGGGAAACTAAGGGTTTCCTGGGAAGAACCTGATAACAGCCGCCACCACTCAGGGAATTCCCTGAAAATATCAAGAGTGGCTCACTATGAAGGGTTAAGGAGAATTATGTTGTTTTCGTGCAGCCTAGCATGCAGGGAAGAGATTAAGAGGAATATACTATACCAGAATTAAGCCCTCCCAAAAATCTAAATGGAAAATTTATTCTAATGGGGGGGGGGGGAGGAAAAGAGTGGTTGGATTCAAAAGGGGTGGAAACACAGGCAGAATATAGGGGGAAAGCACAGAAGCTCACAGCACACAGACTTCCAAATAAAAGCAATAAAGATAGTTTAAGACGGGGTGTCAAACATAAGGCCCCCGGGGGCCAGAAGCAGCCCGTCCAAGGCTCTTATGCAGCCCACGAGCAACTAGTGCAAGGGAGGGAACAGGAGACTGCTGGGGGGAAGTGGGTGGAGTCACTCCGAATGTGGCTTCAGCATGGTGGAACAACCTTGTCTGCAGCAGCCAAGCAGCATGGGAGTGTCTGCCCAGGGTCTGCACCGCTGGCTCGCCAGTCCGCCCATGTGGATTTTCCTTTGCACCCCCCTCCCATCCCATGGGGTTTTGCAGAGAGAATACACCAACTCAGAGCTTACCAGCTGCTGTCCTTTATAAAGGTGGTATCTCTGGTACCTGGCATCACATTTTATGGCACACATGGCCTGGCCTGCCAAAGGCACATTTGTGTCAGATCTGGCCCTCGTAACAAATGAGTTCAACACCTCTGGTCTAAGAGCTCTATCAGCTTACATGTTTGACAAGTGGTCGAAAGAATCTACTTGGTAAAGTGGGAGACAGTCCTTCATATCTACTCCTAATTTCCAAGCTATTAGGCTGTGAGCCTACTTGGACAGGATGTCTCTTTGTACCTGTTCTGTTTGGCAAATACTTTATTAGGTGCTCAAGAAACTACTGACAAGTTTAGTAAAGTAGCAATATCCTATTTTATTTTCCTCCAGTGTACATGCCACCTAATGGAAAAAGCAGCACGATTTCTTTATTACCTTCATTGATTCCAGTAGATGCGATGCTCTAGGTGGACTTGGGTACATTTATTTTCTTTGCCTGGGTGGTGGTGGTGGAATCCCTTTCTAATTGTATTAAATTTTATACCTGAAGAATTTATCCAAGCCTTGCTAAGGATGGCTTTGACTAATCCAGTGCTGTCTAGATACGAAATTCCAGTGACTGCTTTACAGGTATCCTCTTATCTGAAGACTTGCTGAAGTTGAATTATCTTTCAGCTCTTTCCACTTGGACTGACTGTCCCAGAACTTGGTGTGTTTTACGTGTGTGAGTTTAGTGACCTGTAGTAAACATAGCATTTGGACCTCTTTGGAAGAAGCCGGGTTCAACTCCACCCTCTCCACCTTGAAGCTTAGTACACAGTCCTGGCCAAGTTTCTTCCACTTAACCTACCTCAAGAGATGCTATAATCTGATGGGATGGCTGCCACACAGAGATAGGGGTTGAATCCTATTCATCTATTCTCCTAATGGGAGAACTTTCTGCCACCTTAAGCAGCTCCTTCCACTGAAGAAAAGGTCTGCCATTAGTTATAGGATGCAATACTTAATGACAAAAATTGAAGTCCAGACAAAATAAAATTAGAAATAGAGGAATAGGTTTTCACAAATGTGGTGCAGGATATCAGATGTTGCAAACAGGTTTTATCAGCAGCCCGTTTTATTCACTGATTCTGTGTTGCCAGCTCTTCAGAAACCATCTTAGGGCCAATCCACGTGTCTTTATGTCCCCCGCACATCCACCCTGGTCCTTTCTACCAGAGATGCACTGGAGTTCTGTGCTTGAAGCTGAATTCTCAGGCATATGCAGGTCGGATTCAGATCAGAATCCCTAGTATATGTGGAAAACGTGCTTACGCACCTTCTTGCTCCATTGGAGTGTCTATGGATATATGGACGGGCTATGTATAAGTTTTCCCAGTAGAGTCAACAACTGCTCCCTAGAATCATGTCACCTACAGGAAGACAGCATGTGGAAGCTTAAACCCCCCTCTCCCTAAAGTTCTGACCTAAATCAGGCCTGTGCAGACCTGGGGAATAAGTTCCAAGCATGGAACTCCCAGCGTGCATCTGATCAAAAGGACCGGGGTGGACATGAGGACTTGAACTGACCCTTAGATTCTTCCTCTTCATCCCCATCATGGCTGTGTTGTGCGCTAAGCCTGTGAAGAATGCGCTGAAGTTCCGACCTCCGCAGTGTGAACTTCTATGCCACTCGGAGTGGATCTCGGTCCCTCTCTGAAACGATGACCTGGACCTTGTTCTCCAGGTGAGTCGCTAGCAGTAGCTGCAGCTCCCGAAGAAAACCTCGCTCGCTGTTGCTGTGCTCACACAAAATCACAGTGGTGCCTTTTGCGACGGCATCCAGGACATCGTGGTGAGACATCTCTCCTGTTGGTGCAATCAAGAGGAGGCCCTTGTAAGAGGGTAAAGCCACATGACTTGTAATCTGTTAGGAGCACAGAATAATCAACCATACATAGCTCTGGGGTTGTGTATCAGCACTTGTCTGCGTTGTCCCCACCGGGCTCAGTACAGCAGCACAGTATATATTCCTGATTTGCAAGAAAGAACTGAACTGCCATAGACAGTTTTGTTTGATATGGATGGCACAACTAATTACGAGTTTGGTATAAATGAGGAAGTCTTCCATTTGCAGGCCATGTACAAGAGGAGGCTAGAATGCACATTCTCTGAATTTTTATCAAGTCACAACACTGAGATATATTTGGGGAAGGCAACATACAAGAACCAAACACTGTCCTGTTTAAAATGCTTTCCCATGATTATTCTAGCCGAACGCCGTGAAAGAATGAAGTCTGTTACCTGTGAGATAGAGATCTGCTTCCGTCCCCTGCAGGACACTCGTTCCCGAACCAGCACAGAGAGCAACCACCTTCACCTCGGATTCTACAAGACAAGAAATTGCACCGCTAAACGTTTTTGTTACTCTAACGAGAGAAAGAGAACTTTGTACAGCAGGATCATTGTTCAGGGGCGCAGCACAGATCCTTGCATGAGGGTCTAGGTGCAACATGTAGCATCAAAGGGGAGCAGAGCTGTAAAAGGCCTCCCTCTGCCAGAGAACTTGGAAAACTGGACAGCTGATCCAAACCAGTTTCAGGTAGGGTTTCCAGGCTGAGCCTGTCAAATGGCAGGAGGATTGGGCGTGGGGACATGGAGAGGGCACGACATCAGCTGTGTCCATACATCACTTCCGGGCAAAACTCAGAAGTGACATAGCGTAGCTCTAGGAATTGCTGGAAACTCTATGGTAAAACCAACCAACGGACTGGAAAGCCCAGTGTCATCAACCCATCTACGCTGGTTCTCAGCCATTCCAGTCAAGTGCATGTTCATGCCACTTTTGGAAGTATACTTAGTGCTGGGTTCTCTACCCATCTAAAGCAATTAAAAAACAGTTATAACGAAGTACTCTGACCCTGGTTGCACAAGCACACATTGTTCTTCAGAACACAGGCAACTGGTCATTTTGAGGAATTGTGTTTTTGCGTGTATATGGCCAGCATTTGACTCCTGTGATAAAAACCCAATCCTATAGTTGCCATACCCAGCGTTTTCCCAGCTCCGAGGGCCAGGCGGACATGAGGCAGTCTTAAATGGCTCTTCACTCTTTCAATCACGACAGATACAGCCACCGGTTCTTTTAAGATGCATAACCGCCCCATTCCGGTACCTTCAAGTGGAGGCTGTGAAGAAGCAGAAATTAAAGAGTTACATTGGCAATACGTACAGACCCACAATCAGCCACCATGATTGGGTGGGGGGGGAGATCAGTTTCCATAAATAAATGCACATGACATATTAAGAAGTTGCTGAAATGTTATGCTTTAAAATCAGCCATGTGCTATGAACCACAAAATCTGGATCTTCTTCGTGGTCTCTGTGCTTCACACCAATGGGTTTAGTGCGCCTGCGCTGACCCAACCGGTGCCGTAGCAAGCTATGTTTCAAAGGATTTTCGCGCGAGTCCCACTGAGCATGCGCAGGAACCCCAGCACGCATGCCCAGAGGGGACGGGCGCGGAGATCCCGCCAGTTCTCTCTCTACCGCCGCGTTGAAAGGACCTTTTTGCCTTTCCTCCTGACCGGATAGCTATTTCTGCCTTCGGGCCTTTACCTTATTTCTTGTTTCTTAGGATCATCCTTTATTTTATTTCTTTACTTCAGTTTACAAAAAAAAAAAGAAGAAGAAGAAAGAAGAAAAGCGAGAACTTTTGTTTTTCTGAGGGGAATCTCCTCAGGCCTTCGGGCTCCCCCCCCCTTCCCTCTTCACTTTTCCCCGGCATTTTTCTCTTCCCACCGTATGGAAAAGAAAAAGAAGAGGAGTCAGAAGTGGGGCTTTTTCAACCGCTGTAAGAAGTGTGGAAGTAAATTGGCCCCTCCAGATGGCCATGAACTTTGTTTGTTCTGCTTAGGCGAGTCACACAGAGCGGATACTTGTAAGCATTGTGCTAAATTTTCTAATCAGACGAAAAAGAACCGTGCCGCACGTAGAAGTGGGGCTTTTTCAACCGCTGTAAGAAGTGTGGAAGTAAATTGGCCCCTCCAGATGGCCATGAACTTTGTTTGTTCTGCTTAGGCGAGTCACACAGAGCGGATACTTGTAAGCATTGTGCTAAATTTTCTAATCAGACGAAAAAGAACCGTGCCGCACGATTAAAAGTTGCTTTGTTGGAATCGGCTCTTCACCCGACGTCTGCTATGGCGGACCAACCTTCTACCTCACGTACTGCCGTCGATACCGGAGCATCGATACCGACAAGATCGACATCGAAGGTCGCTTCTAAACAGTCAGCGAAAGGCAAGTCTGGAAACCAACATGCCACTAAAAAGGACAAGCAGTCCAAGCAGTCCAAGTCTTCTAAGGAGGGTAAGACCGGGCCCACTGAGGGCATTCCTTT